ATCTATCTATCTATCTATCTATCTATCTATCTATCTATCTATCTATCATCTCTATCTCTGTCTATCATCTCTATCTGTCTATCTGTCTCTATATCTATGGACCACATTTTGGGTGCTCTGCAACCTGCCTGCATTTACATTCATTTGCAATGTCCTGCAATCTTTTTGCTGGAAACCGGCCTCTACTTGTGTGGTTTCTGGCAAAACCTGGCCTGTCGTGCACAATGGGTTCATTTAATGACCATAGCATTCACTTAACGACCGTGGTATTTTCTTAACTGCTGCCATGTTTACTTAATGACTGAGGGTGAAGGTTTGTTCTCCGAGCTTGTGGTTGGTTTCCAAATGTTTCATTACCAGGCTAGGTAATGTACTTAATGACTGCTAAAAAAAAAAAAAAAGTTTTGGGCATGTGATGACTGGCTTTACACCCTTAATTGCCAGGCTCAATTCCAATTGTAAGTTGAAGACTAGTTGTATACAAAAATAATAATAACAATCAGCGTACAACTTACTTTATGCAGCTGACAGGGGCACAGCTTTTTTCTAATAATTTCTTATTTGAGGGTGGGCGAATCAAACACGGTGTCTCTTTTCTTGGAAGAAATGTGGCACCCACTTTACCCAGAAGCTCACAATCATTTTTCTAAAGCAGTGTTTCTCAACGCTGACCATTTTAGGATGTGTGAATTTCAATGCACAGCTCGCTAGAAATCAGGGGTCTCCAACCTTGGCCACTTTGAGACTTATGGACTTCCACTCCCAGAGTTCCTCAGCCAGCTTTGCTGGGAGCCATTGATCAGCATTGATGGCTAAGGAACTCTGGGAGTTGAAGTCCACAAGTCTTAACGTGGCCAATGTTGGAGACCCTGTGCTAGATTATTTTCTCTGTATCACTAGCTTTTCTGGAATTTGCTCACTGCTCGAGATGGTTGACAGGATAAGAAGATCTTCTCATCTCTGTGCCATTGATCTCCTTAGTTCTAGTTTTTAAATAGTATTTTCAAATGTTAATTGGTTTTATATTTATACATTGGTTTTATAGTGTTATTCTTGGTTAAGCTGCCCAGAGTCACCTTATCGAGGGGATAGGTGGCCTATAAATTTCATAAATAAATAAATGGATAAAAACTCCCAGAATTCCCCAGCTGGTCATGCCAGCTGGAGAATTCTGGGAGTTGAAGTCCATACACCTTAAAGTGATAAAGATTTGAGAAACAGCAGTCTAGAGTCTTCCTCCTTGATAGGCCCTTCTCCAATTCAGCTGAAACAAATGTAATGCATTGGTGTACAGGTAGTCCTCAATTTACGATCACAATTGAGCCCAACATTTCTGTTGTTAAGTGAGTTTTGCCCCTATTTTACAACCTTTCTTGCTGTGGTTGTTAAGGGAATCAGTGCAGTTGGTAAGTTGGTCAGACGGTCATTAAGTGGATCTGGCTTCCCCATGGATTTCGCTTGTCAAAAGGTTGTAAAAGGGGATCCCATGACCTTGGGACATAACAAACGGTCATAAGTATGAACCAGTTGCCAAGCATCTGAATTTTGATCACAGGATCATGGGGATGCTCCAAAGGTCATAAGTGTGAAAAATGGTCATGTCACTTTTGTCAAGGCTGTCGTAACTTTGAACGGTCACTAAATGAACTGTTGCAAGTTGAGGACTCACCTGTACTTTTAACAAAGCATTTTCGAAGCTGGGCCCAAGGACAGAATCTGCAACTTAACATAGTCTGGGAAGATAGGAACTTGTAAAAAGGAACTCTCTAGAAAATCAATGAAGACAATCAATGACTGTGCTTAATTATGCTAATTCCTGACGGCTCCCTCTTCACCTGATTCTTCATGATCCCACATCATTTCTGACTCAAAATGAGAAAGGCACAACCTACCATGTCATTTCCTGCTGTATCACTGGCTTTCCTGGAATTTGCTCAGTCAGCATAAGAAATCACACAAGATCAGAAATAGATTGGAAAGAGCCCAGGTGTGCCGTTATAAGGCTTAAGTGGATGATCTGACACAGGCAAAAACAAAAAAAAGGTGAATGAATGCTAAACTACAGGAAATACCAGAGAAAGGTTTACCAGAATGAGGGGGAAAGCTGCAACGGCTGATCAAACATAATTGGTATTTTTTTAAAAGATTCTCTGAGTAAGCTGGGATCAAAGCCAATGAACCCTAAGCCTGGCCCAGAGATTTATTTAGCGCTCAGGCCAAGATATATATTTTTTTCCAGTTTAAGCCTTCTAATGTCAAGGCAGAGCACAGAACCTGCTAGGAATTGAAAGATAAAATGGAAAATAGGCAGGGGAGGATGCCATAATTTGGTATTCATCCCTCACCTGCGATGACCCAGGGTGGGATACAAAATAAACACAATCACAAAAAACAGGTGAAGCCCCTTTTATTCCTTCACTTTGCTTCCTAGCTCCAAATATCCTTGACCACAGACAAAAAATTCCCACACAAGCAGTTACAAGGAGGAGGAAATGTCATTTAAATTATAAAGAGTAAAAAAACCAACACAAGCCAGGCAAGATAAGGGCTTGAAGACGTCCACAGATATCAGAACACACACTGGGAAGGCCGCCAAACTCAGAGAGGAACAATATACTAGAGATTGTTCCTCCTTTCCCTCAGAGTCAGTCTCCACCAGGAGCATGACACACCTTTTCCATAATAGCAATAGCACCTACACTTACACACTGTTTCACAGTGCTTTATAACCCTCTTTAGGTGATTTACAGAGTCAGCATATTGCCCCTAAACAATCTGAGTCCTCATTTTCCCGACCTCGGAAAGATGGAAGGCTGATTAAAACCTGAACTTGTCAGGATCGAACTCCTGGCAGTGAGCAGAGTCAGCCTGCAATACTGCACTCTAACCACTGCGCCACTATAGAGCGTTTATTACATCATCTTGCATGTCTGTTAGCCCTTTGAGGTAGTCCAGGAGAGACATGTGACCAGGAGTATTCAGTCTATCTTTATTGTAAGTTTACCCTAACAGAATTTTGCCACACCGAAAGTATTTCTCTCCTCCTTTCCTTTTATTTCTGGAAAAATAGGGAGGTCCCTTCTGAAGTGTTTCCCATGCCTTCCTTCCTCCTGTGGGTTGAGGTATCTTTTACATGATGGTTGTCTGGTCTGCAACTCTTCTTCTTGTCTCCCACTGGCTATTACACTATCAGAAGTGTTTACAAGAGGTACCAAAACATGCAAAACCATCAATTAAATCTCCAGATTTTTTATCCATACTGATGAACCCATGGTCCGATCCAGATGTGGTATTTAGCAGGTTCTGACCAGTTCTGAAGAACCGGTAGCAGAATTGTTGAGTAGTTCGGAGAACTGGCAAATACCACCTCTGACCGGCCCCGCCCCCATATATTCTCTGCCTCCGGAATCCCAGCTGATTGTCTGGGTCTTCTTCGGTTGCCCTGCACAGGAGAACAGAGCTGGAAAGTAGGTTAGTGGAGTGGGGAAGGAATGGGGATTTTGCAGTATCCTTCCCCTGTTGTGCCCACCAAGCCATGCCATGCCCAACAAGCCACACCCACAGAATCAGTAGTAAAAAAAGTTGAATCCCACCACTTGTCCGATCCCTTCAGAACTCTTCTTAGATTCTTAAATCTGTTGGATATATCATATCTGTTCTGCCAAATTGTTTCTGTCATGGTGTAGAATCAAGGAGGGATCACCTGGTGTCCTACTTTCCATCTCTGGTCTGCTGGTCATGATGCACATGAAAGGATTAAATCTGGAATAAGCAAAGGCCATGGCCTTTGGAACTATCTATGCTTCTAATGGCTCCAAAAAGTCCTGCGCCTTTAGTTACAGAGCTATCTACGTATAGATAAATAATCTAAATTGTTGACATTAAAACCTCTGCCCTTACCTCTTGCCTATTACTCGCGACTCTTTTCTTCTCTGCCTGTTTTTAATCCCATTTTTTCTGCCAGTTAACTGTTTTTGAAGTTTGCCATTGTTTAATATCTAAACATTGAACAATATATAGATATTGCTGGCTGGACTGAGCGATGTGTGTAGTGATCCTGCCAGCATAGTTTTTAGCTGGCTTTAATTGTGGTGTTCCAGCAAGGTCAGACATGATATGTCTGGGTAATGTTTTATCAGCTGCGAAACCTTCAGTTTTTGGCTCCGTAACTTTTGTCGGACAGCCAGCTAAGCATCATTCTTCTCCTTCTTCAATCATGTCTTTCACATGCCTTAAATACTCTACAGCAGAAGACCATCACACCTGTGCCTGTTGTTTGTAGATGCAGTAGACACTGGGATTTGCAAAGTTGTGTTTACGTTCCCTTGTTCACACTTTCTTCCCATTTTCAGGAGCAATTATGCAATTCTGTTCATGCAGTGCATCATTTTAGAAATACTAGAGCATTTTAGTAAGAACAGATAAGAGGAAATGTTTGACAGAGAATATCAAAGCCAATATTTTTACTGCTTCATATCTTGTAGAAAAGGGTTTGTTTATGTGACACCAAACTTCACATGCCCTTATTATGATATTTTCAGGCAAAAATGACGCCTGGGGACATGAAGGAATCCATACAGCCAGCTTAACAAACAACTGTGTTTTAATTAAAAAATGTTAACAAGGAAAATGTAAATGTTTTTCTGTTTTCTGAACTGTATTGACAGGATACTAACTTACTCAAACGGTTCATCCTAGAACTGTCACATAAACCTGGTACTTCGTTATCATTTTATGTAAAAAAGAAATCATTTTTGTGAGGTAGCTACTTTAGGTAAATTGTTCATAAGATTTAGTATCTGCTGCAGTCCCAGGCCTCTTCGTGGTCTACACAAGTAAACATAAAAATAAAATACCCCCACAGTAAAAAAAAAATTAAATGGTAAAATCTAAAGAACATTGTACAACTAGCCCTCAACTTAGAACCACTCATTTAATAACAGTTCAAAGTTACTATGGCCCTTACACTTATGACTGTTACAAGGTCCCCATGGTCATGTGATCAAAATTTGGTTGCCTAGCAACCAGCAGGTATTTATGGTGGTTGCAGTGTCCAGAAGTCACATGATAATCATTTGCAATCTTCCCAGGTAGGCTGGGTCTTCTTTTGTTGCCTTGCACAGGAGAACGGAGCTGGAAAGCAGGTTAGTGGGGTGGGGAGGGAATGGGATTTTGCGGTATATCCTTCCCCTACCACGCCCACCAAGCCACTCCAGGCCCACCAAGCCACGCCCACAGAACTGATAGCAATTTTTTTTGAATCCCACCACTGAACCAGATTCATTTAACAACCAGGTGATTCACTTAGCAACAATGACAATTCACTTAACAATTCTGGCAAAAAAGATCCTAAAATTGAGTATAACTCACGTAACAACCATCTTGCTTTGCAATGGAAGCTCCAGTCCCAGGTATGGTCGTGATAACTCAAGGATCACCTGTATAATAATTAATTCTGCATAGCCTGGATACAACTCTCTTTGCAGTGTTTTTACTCTACAGTATTTTATGAGCTCTGGTGGGGCAATGGTTAGAATGCAGCATTGCAGGCTGACTCTGCCCATTGCCAGCAGTTCGATCCTGACCGGTTCAAGGTTGACTCAGCCTTCCATCCTTCTGAAGTTGGTAAAACGAGGACCCAGATTGTTGGAGGCAAGATGCTGACTCTGTAACCCGCTTAGAGAAGGGCTGTAAAGCATTGTGAAGCGGTATGTAAGTCTAAGTGCTATTGCTATTATTGTTTTTTGAAAGGCCCAGACTGTAAGGGTTCATCATCTCAGTTCACATGGTGCTGCATCAGAGGTGGTATATTCAGCAGGTTCTGACCAGTTCTGGAGAACCGATAGTGGAAATATTGAGTAGTTTGGAG